GGATGAGCGGACACAGCATTACTCAGTGGAGAGAGCAGATAGGCTGTGGAAAGAGATGGAGGTGAATTAGGGATAGTCAGGGACAAGGGTATGGGAAAGCAAGGAGCACAGGGCTTGTCTGCAGGAGAACGGGAGAGGGGACGACACATTAGGATGGGGTATCTTAAGAGGGAACAGGGAAGTCACACCGCTAAAAGGTCAGTATCTGCTGTGGCACCGACTGCAAGAAGCAAATCAACAAAATATCTAATTCTTTAACACAGCCAAGCTTTTTTCCTTGGTTCTTGCCGGTGAAAGACTGAGCACTCTTGGCACAGCACACTGGAGGTAACACGAAGGGGAGAAGCAGGACTGGGCCCTGCATCCTAGGGCCTGGACAGGATTTCTGGTGTTTAAACCTTACTGAGGTAAATGAGATTCAAGCAAAGGCTTAACTGCCGCACTCAACAGAGATGCTTGCTTGAATCAGGCCCCTTACCAAGAAATGTTAATTAGATGTATTTCCTTCCCAAGATGTCTGTCTGAGAGGATAATTTCATCATCATTGAGGTGCTTAAGTGTGTTAATGACAAGGCTACATATCCACCTGGGCAGGCAGACTGATGGACCTCTCGGACACCAATTCCGCCACCATTGCTCATGACAAGTAGTGTATTTATTTCTCTGAAACAGCCTCCAGCATCTTCAGGAATACTGCTGCTGAAGGCAGGACTGCTCCTCATGGGAAAGACGACAGACTCCTGTGTTGGGCTGCCAACTCCTTCATCCCAGGACTTTACAGACAACCCTGAAGACGACCATCACACAGGCATCGCAGGCACTACAGAGACGCGCAGTGGATGCTCCACCTCCTCCACCTGCGCGGGAAAAAAGTCACGCGGCTTTGCTGGAAAATAAACCCATGCAGTCAAATACCAGAGTGAGGTGGGCGGAAAGTCAGACAAATTAGATGGATCAGATTCCAGCACGCCCCAAGGGTCACTCCATGCAGGGTCTGCCGGAGGGAAGGTGGGAGCAGCGTCGCTCATCCAGGGAGGGTGCCAAGCTACCAGCTTCTTGTCGATTAATCCTGGGGAGCAGGAGGCGGCGGCGAACACCCTGCCAATTGCAAATGTGGTGATGGGGCATTGGGGGCATACATACGCATCATTAGTCATCCGCAAGAATTTTGTTTTTGTAACCTCTGCATTTTTATCTGTCACTTCGAGCAATAAATATGCACTCCCGCCAGTGATTTGACATTACACTTGCTTTGGATGGTTGCCTTTCCCAAATATTAATAGTAACTCATTGTGGACACAGCATTGGTATTTAGTTAGATCAGACCAGCTTCTTTTAAAAAACAACTTTTCGTATAAAGAGAACAGATGTTTTTAATTTACACAAAGAACAAAAACAAAGTTCTATTGTTCGGTTACAGTGAACACAAACATTACAGGCACATAGAAATTAACACCAATAGCACGTTAAAAAAAAATTAAAAGCCCGTCATTATACAGATCAGCTTATTTGCGCTTTTCCCACCACTGTAACGATGTAGTGGCATGCAATGATAGCAAGTGTTGGGTTTCGGAACTCATATGAATTTGAGCGTGGTGTATTTTAAAGATAAAAATGGCATAAACACAAGGACACTTTCTAAACTCACATTATACAGACAATAATAATAATAATAACAATAATAGTTTTATAATAACAAATGAGGAATGTAAACCCTCACAGTCCAGGGCAGAAGCCAACTACTAGCCCATGGGGATAGAAAGAAATTGCCCCTTTCAGCTGATTATTCTATAGTTGTTCCTTACAGGGTATATTTTCTCCATCACCATCTGCACACAACAGTAAGGCCTCAGCCCTCCAAAATATGATGTGTGTATATGGAAATGGACAGAGCATTTTAGTTGCATCAATGAGATTATCTTGTGGTACGGTATGAAGCTAAACCAGAATTACCATTATACGATATTTTCCTCTGGGGGTTTAAACACCTGCTGAATGCATTTACAAGCACTTGGTGCATGCAGGTGGGAGCAGAGCTCAGGTACATTCCATGCTAAGGCGATCAAGCCCCTTCCAGAACAGGAGTGCTGCCCTGCAGGTGGGGGTCACCTGCACCTCTCTGTGTCTGACAGACACACTCCCCGAGAAAACATTTATCAGAGAGAAAGCATCATTCCCGTTTCTCACCCACTGGTCCCACAACCTGGATATCTAATTCCCAGCCTACTCCAAGGCAGAGTTCTTCCCATAGAGAAGCATCTCCTTCCGGAAGATTTCCTAGTGGCTCTCTCTAGTTGGTTGTCACATCTTAGGTCACCTGCTCAGGCAGCTATTTCTAGGTTTAGAAATACTGACATACTACCATTTCTACTTCTATTTTAGAATTGCTGGTTCTGCAGCTGCAGAAAGACAAGGAGGGCATGGATCCCTTATCTTGGCTTCTCCCAATGCCATATAAGCAAAGACTCTGCTTTCAGTATATTAAAACCAGACTTCACCCTATTTCCTTTCCCATTGTTCACTAGGTTTTTTGGTTTTGGTTTTTTTTGTCCAATAATAGGTGCCACACTCCAACTAAATATCAAACTGTGAGGCTTACTTAAGATCATCACATGGGACCTAGTGGGGAAAAAAAAAGAAACCCAAACAAAACTTTCTTGCATCTCAACCAGTTGTAAAAATAAAGTTATAATTAAAAGACTTGGGACAGAAAACCGGACAAGTCTTTTTCTGTAGCATTCAGGTAACCTGAGGATTTCAGTACCACAGAACAACAGAAAGACAAATACCATGACTCAAAGGGCTGGAGCCTTTTCCCACCACTACGAGCAAGCCGCACTGGGAGAGGTGCTGTATGTGTGCTGCTCCAAGTGGCTGGTTCTAAACTTTCAATCACATTATATAATACAAAACCCAGTTCCAGACCCATGCAGGAAAAAAAAGAGAAACCAAAACATGACATTCATACGGTACCTTTCAGCTCGAATGAACCCAAGCCATGAATCATCTTATCCACCACAGAATGCCATCACCTCAACGTTGAAACAGCAGCTCTTGATTACCTTACAAGAACATTAAGATGGGTGCCCTTATGCAGCCAAAACAGCAAGGAAAACTGAGTAGACAAACATCATAACCTGGAATGCACAAGGTTATCCTCCCTACCTTTATAATGAGTACCAGAGGGACTTTAGGGACCACAAGCAGCCGATGCTTCCAGCCGCCCAGTGCTAACAATGCTCTCCACAGCTCTTAAGCGATCCCTGGAAGCCAAAAGCATTTGACCTGGACTTGCTTTGCTTTGCTTGGTTGACTGCGAGGCCAAGAGCTGGCTATCGCACACTGACCACAATTGCTATGTCGCATCCAACGTCGTTTCTGCCACATTTACAACCACAATGAATGCCAGAAACAGAGTAATCGCGATGCTCCGAGTTGTCCAAAGATCTGGAAATCCATCTCCTCACTGCTTGTGCAAAGAAGGCAGCTAATTGCAGTTGTGTACCTGTCCTGAAGGTTGGCTGTTCATTAATAAATTTCAATCATGCTCTCCCAAACATGGCTCCCTCAGACCTTGACTCTCAGTATCTCGGAGAGATGCTACATGGCTCTCGGAAGTGGCTTATCAAAATTGGAACCGTTTGTTATCCAAATATACTGAAGTTTTCACTCAAAATTCAAAATCTCATTGTTACACCACACTCATCACTGTGGTATCTGAGTACCGCCATTTCCAGCCGAATTCCAGCCCCAGCTGGATTCAATGAAGAGTCACTCCGAGTCCGGGGACGCAGAGTTAAGGCAGGCCAGGATCATGCGGCGAGTCCTGCGTGGGCTCATGAGAAGTTTGTTGCAGAAGTTGGATTTCTGCTCCCGCTGAACGAGAAAGGGTCTTGTGGCCAAAGGACATTAATTAGGAGATTGCTAAATCCCCGGGGCTCCGCTCCAGAGCACTCACAAGCGTGCCACCAGCTCCCTGCTGTGTGAGTGTGTCTGGCAGGGCAGTGGGGTGGGTTCTGCTGTAACTGCAGAGCTCCCCTGAAAGAGGGGGACAGAGGAGGAAATTACACCAATTGCACTGTGTCCTGTGAGCGGATGTGCCCAGTGGCTTTTGTTTGTCCTGAAGTGGTGTGAAGCATACTGTAAAAACAATCTCATTTCTACAGCACGGCTCTGCTCACGCAGGTGAACCAAAGTAAGGTAAGAACGGTTGGGTAACGCCCCAAAATGGGGACCAGTAGAAGATTGAGCCCTGGGTTTCAATGGCTAAAATGTCAACCTAAATGTCCAGTACTTCTCACCCCACCGTAGCTCACCCATGGACACGAGCTGCGTTTTTAGCTCACCAAACCTCTTAGCCTTTCTGCCTCCCAGGGCACTTGCACTCCCAGAGCCCTGGCTTCCACCAGGCGCAATGACTTTCTCTTCTCAGGCAATATGTTTGGCCATTTACAGACCCACACATGGTCTGACTGATCCAGAGATACCAGAGCACTTCTAAAAACAAGATGTTTTCACCAAAACACTCCCCGATAATCAAACAAATCAAAGGGCAACCTCACTGGATCCACAAAAGCAAAACGCATAGCTGCCAGAGAACTGCTGTTATCTCTGGCATGGCTGGGTCACTGGGACATTTCACAGAAACAAAAATGTATTTCCTGTGTAGACCCAATTAAAATACCTCAGGGGAAATGTTTCATGTGCTTTTAAGACCTGAAGCCAATACTACCCAAGTGTCTTGTAAGGAATGAGCGTACTTCCCAGGGGCTGATGGAAAGCACTGAGCACCCTCTGCTGCACTCATTAAAATGAGGCTCAGCAGCAGCTGACCTTGCACATACCTGGCAGGAGGGTGCTCTGCCCTCCCAGCGAGAGGAAAGCTGCCTCCCACTGCCAGGAGCTCAGATAACGTTGGAGGCCACTGCAGGAGTCAGCCCAGGCGTCCTTCCACGCCAGAAGCCACGGGCTTCTCCTGAGTCACACGCAAGGTTTGGAGAAGACAGCACAACCCCTGTTGTAAAAGGTCAGCTATACCTTTCCTCCTGGGTCTGACCAAGTTCCCTCTCCGCAGCTGGGTCAGCCTTGATTCACAGGGAGAAGGACTTTGCTGCCCATGCACAGGTCTCTGGGGGCAGATGGAGGCTGTGGGTGACTCGCTATGCAGGTAATGAGACTTCGATTGCTGCCACATTCATTTTCTATCTTGATCTTTTTTTTTTTCCCTGTTCACCCCATCATTTGTTCATATCCTGCAGGATCTGGCTGCTTTGCCTGCTGTTCTGGGTGGGACAAGGGAGGCAGATGGCTCCCCCAGGTTGGTGAAACATGACAAAAGGGTAGTGGGGAGAGGCAAAGATGAGAACCCGGTTATTTTGCTTGTAACAAGATGTGCCTCTTCTCTACCCTCCAGTCCCACTGGCTCATCTCCTATATATGTGCTCCCACCAGGTTTTGTAGAGAGCAGTTGCCGCTCCAGGATTTTCTGGATGAAACTGAATAAACTCTTGCTCCAGGGAAAGTTCTTCCAGCTGGAAATCTATGGTGAGTCACAAGTGGCTGCCCTGAGTACCATGAAGGCTGGGGAATCACCTAAGCGCTCACAGTGTCTGTGATCTGGATGCTGCTGGCATCTATGCAATAACTGGTAACTGACCCCAGAGAACTTGCAGAACATCCTTGCCACCTAGACCTGGCCTCTCACATGTCGATTTGGCCAGTGTCATTACAGATGAGTACAGCTTGTGTCTACAGTCACACTCCCCCTTGCCCCTTACAACTAACTTGCTGGGGGAAGGAGGAAGGATGGCTGAGGAAGAAGGACTGATATTTAACTTTTATTCTTTATTCTGCTGACCCCTTACACATGTCTAGCGAGGAAAACAAAGGTGACATTGCAGCTTGAATGTATCCTGGACAGTGCAAGGCAGCGTGGGCTGAGTAATACACAGAAAACACACTCTCAATGAGTGCTGCAGCAATTAAAGGATTGGGGTTTTTTAGTATCCTTTTTATTTAACACCACAGTGGCAGTTAAAAACCCTATTTCAGACAGAACAAAGGGTTTCCATTTTGCTGAGGAAAACAAAAATCTACTTAACCAAAATGAAAACCAGAAAATGTTCGCATCAGATTGAAAAAAGCATGTGATTTCCCCCTAAACCAGATTTCTTTCTGTTGAGATCAGTCCACTTTTCTTCTGGGTTTTGGGTTTTTTCAATTGATTTGGAGGCAGAACTGAAAAAGCCAAGTACAGCAAGGGTGTGGGGAGAAGTGATAGCATTTATGAGAGCAACTGATATTGCTGGAAAAAACAGACCAGCCTTCAGGCACAAAAAGGTTGTTTGTTTCTTCCAGCTCTATCAGTTGGTCTCATAAAAGCTATTCCCTCTTCTTCCAAAATTCTTCCCACTTATCTCCTTAGTCTATCCTGGCTGCAAGAATACATCTACTGAAACAGCAGTTATTAGTACTGTTTAACATATAAAGATGACAGACAAATCTAGAAATTACAATGGCAGCTAGTTAAACCCTATCTATTTGTACAGATTCTTGTGTCTAACCCAAGACTAAAATAGTTCCTTAATCAGAGGGCAGATAATTAACAAAATATGATCTTATTAACTACCAGGATCAAGAGCTGAGTGTAGCCAGCTCCCATCGTGCCTGTTACTTGGCTCCCCCATAGGTTTAACAGCACGCAGTGCCTTGCCAAGCAGAGATGAGCAGCAAACCGGACCGATCTGTAGAACTACCCATCCAAAAAAGGTCCGTGACTGCATCCTTTGACCAGAGTGAGCAACAGATTATGACAACTTGAGGATTTTTAGAAACTAATGAGTTTAATAGCCCACCACTATTTTCTAGAGAGTAAAATCAGGGAGGGAGAAAAATATGTGATGCCTCAGAGAAACTCTCCATAATAATACTTCAAGGTGGCTGTGGCAGAAGCTTCTGGACACAAAGAAACGGGCTTTAAAGTGAACATAATGTGGGTGAGCTTTAACACATATCTGGAGAGCTTTGCCAGCTCCTTAACAGCACACGCCACTGGAGAGCACCCAAACCTTCTTTGAGAGGAGAGATGCCAGAGGGGGCCGCAGCACCACTCTGACCCCTGACTTGCCCTGAGCTTTCCATCCCACACATCACTGCTTTTTCTGTAGATCCTTACGCTGGCCCCGTTCTGCTGGATGAGAAACTAGCATCTCGCTGTGGCTATGTCCTGTCAGAAGACGTGTGGGGCAACCCCATCTTCCGTGCATCGGTGCTTGGCTGTCATGTGGCCAACGAGGTAAGACCAGAGATGGGCTTGAAAACAACTCAGACAGTACATCCTCTCCAAGAAGACAACATTGAGATATTATATGGCATTCTAATGGCATGTTTTGAGAACTCGAGAAGTACTGAACTCAAGGAGTTTGTGTTGATGGTGTGTAGAAATGAATAGGCAATGGCTCTCCAGTTTGAGGTTTGTTCAGTGTGACTGACATGGGATTTCCTCTCTCCATGGAATGACACTCAGCCTAATGCTGCTGACAAGCTGCCAGTTCTCAAGCATATCCTTGTAGCTGCTGATTTGACAGAGAGTTTCTTGAAAGCCTCTCTGGAAAGAAGTAGGCATCTGCTTGAAAAAGCAACATTTGCAGTGTGATTCTGGCAGATCATTTCCTGGCTTAATTTGTGTGGTAATGTGCCTGTTAACACATGCCTAGGAACGTAGATCACACACACATCTATTAGACCCAGATTTGTCTCACGTAACTTTAGCCATCTAAAAGATAATGTCTAGTCTAAACTAGTTGTTTACGCTTCCACAATAGTCAATGGAGAGAAACAGGCATCTCCGGAAGGTGATTCACCCCTTCCTAAAATACGTGTAAAAGCGTAGCCTGGATTTCTAATTTCTAAATGTTGAGATTAAATGTACCTAGAAACAGAACATATCACACTAGAAACTTCATTGCTTGTCCGTGTTTAGTCTGGTTGGTCCTGGAAGCCCCACAGAAAAAACATTATGGGCAGAGGTTATGCTAACAAGAACGGGGGGTGTACAGTGTGCTGGGCAATGACCAGGATTTCTAGACTGGAAATTTCTCTGGAAAGGTTTTGCGTTTTTCTGTAGAAAAATACACATCCATGTCAGATAGAAGAACAGTCCGTGGCTTCGTCTGTGGCTCCTGGAGAGCTGAAAGACCAAAAGGAGCTCTTACTGAAGCTAGTTAAGATAGACACAAAACAGCATTTCTAAGGTAGATCTGAATGACCTACATCCAACTGAAAAGCTCCAGTACTTCTCTCCATGAGGAGGCACATCACAGTCATGAGTGGGAGGAAGGTGAACCACATGGTAAGGCAGATCAGGTCTTTCCCTGACTCCTTCATACTGTGGCAATGATGCCGAGATGTGACCCGAGGCAAAGGCCGTAAGTACCCAGGCAAGGCCTCTGGCTCAGAAAGCCCCTGCACACAAACCACTTCACACAGGGTGGTATGCTGGAGGAACTGTCACTACAACTCTCAGCCTGTTCCCGTCATTATAAAACACTCAGAAACAGGACACTAGGACCTTCCACACTACCTGCTGAATTGCCTGTTTTTCTTCCCAGGCAGATGAGCTGTTTTCACTGACTGTGAACATCAAGGTCTCCTCATTTTCAAGCATGCGGGCAGCTGTGACCTACACCTACCCTATGTACTGCTCCTACTCTCCCTGGGCTGCAAGAGAAATTGTGTGTGAAGAAAACTACATGGAGGTAAAAGCTTTCCCTATGAAGGCAAAGCCACGTCCACTAATTCCCGTCAGAAGCAAATTTTTATGCTACGTAACAGACATAGTAGCGACCCGCTGATATTCAGCGGAGGGTGTAACTATAAATGGTTATGAGTAACTCATTTACATGTCTCAGATATTTTGAGTGCAGTGAAATTCAGTTAACTGTACAGAAGGTGTAAGCCAAGCCACTGCAAGGAAATCTGCAGCCAGGCAGGCCAACCTGTTTAGCTCATGAGAATACCTTTATGTTATAAAGTGCTGCAGCATCTCTGAGAATATCATCCTTATATTTGACATCATAACACCTAGAGTTGGATGAGCTCCACCCCTGGTGCATCACACAACTCCCAGGACATAGAATCATAGAATGGTTTGGGTTGGAAGGGACCTTAAAGACCATCTAGTTCCACCCCCCCTGCCATGGGCAGGGACACCTTCCACTAGACCAGGGGGCTCAAAGCCTCATCCAGCATGGCCTTGAACACTTCCAGGGATGGGGCATCCACAGCTTCTCTGGGCAACCTGTCCCAGTGCCTCACCACCCCCTCCGTGAAGAATTTCTTCCTGATATCTAATCTAAACCTCTCCGCTTTCAATTTAAACCTGTTACCCCTTGTCCTGTCACTACAGGCCCTTGTAAAAAGTCCCGCCCAGCTTCCTTGTAGCCCCTTCAGGTACTGGAAGGCTGCAATAAGGTCTCCCTGGAACCTTCTCTTCTCCAGGCTGAACAAGCCCAACTCTCTCAGCCTTTCATCATAGGAGAGATGTTGCAACACACTTAAACCGTGGTACAGGTGTCTGAGGCAAACTGACTCCCAGCTCAGTGTCCAGCTCTCACCTCACTGCAGCACAGGCTGCCAAGATTTACACCGTAGCATCTACCTTAGATATTGGGGATCCTCCATTTTCAGGTGTTCAGCCTGCATGGGAAGAGGGAAACAGTCCTGTTAAAGCTTGTTTCCATATACCTCCAGTGGAGAGACGTAGGTGTCCCTGAAAGTATCCAGAGTGGGATCTAGTTTACACGTTACCAGATATGAAACTGGACTTTTGATTTACCCAGTTGCACACAAAGTATTCCCTCTGCTGTACATGCACCACCGTAAATGGGGGTTGGAACCAGACGATCTTTAAGGTCCCTTCCAACCCTAACCATTCTATGATTCTAAATGCCACGGCTTTAACTCACATTTTAAGGCCATTAATTACCACCATCAAGAACCCTTTCGGAAACGCTTTAATTACGCCCAGTGAATGTAAATTGTTAAGTCCCAACAGACATTGAAGACGAAATCTGAAAGCCCTCTCTCTGCCCCCCATGCCTGTGAGAATGCTGAACATTTGCTTGTTCCCAAAGAATTTCCTCTGTGTCTCCAGGTATCCGTGAAGACTGACGTCCCTGCAGTTTCAAATGACTACACCGTGGCGTGGATGTCTGCACTGCCAGAGGTATGCAGGGAACTCTTTCCTAACTGTTCCTAGCCTGCCTCTTCTCACTAGTCTCATGAGTCATTCTTGGGGCATGGCTCCATCTCTGTCAAAAAAAGGGAGATGGCAAAGATGCCGCCAAGTAGTGAAAAACCTCTCAAGTTTTCAAGTTTTGCTCTAGACTGCAAAAAGACATTTAGGTGGGAGAACAGAGCCATATGCTTGTTACATTAGTGGAAACCGAGCAAGACAAACAAAGGTAGGTGGTTCTTCACACAATGGGCAGTGAATCAGTCAAACTCCTTGCCAAAAGATGTTGTGGCTGCTAAAAGCTTGCTTGATCTCAAGGAGAGTCTGGAAAAGTTGACTGAAGAGAAATCCAGTAAGACACACAAAATACAAAGAAGTTACAGATAGCTCAGGAGTCCCTGAGCTGAAAATTATTTGAGGCTGGAAAGTGTTAGAGGGAAATATATACGCTTGCCCTATTTTTCTCATGCCTCACTTGCTCCTTGTGCCCATTTTCCCTTTTGACGATCCTCCCATATGGTTATCATTTCAGGAGAGTGCTCTAGACCAGGACAGACATTCCTCTCTCCTTATCTTGGACACAGTATGGCTACATACTGTAAAAGGTAGTCTGTCATTTAGTCTCTGGACTTCTCCAGTGATCGACAGACATGAAGGCAATCATTTTATTCACAGCACGGGCTTGTTGTCCAAGGGGACTTGTTCAAGGCCACCAGTCTAAGTTTCTTCCAGGGCTGCTCTAAGACTCTAAAGATGTCCTAAAGAGCTACAGAATTCCTTATCCTCGTATATAACAAGGGTATTTCTTGCCTGGGGTGAACTAGTAGCATTCAGTGTCACTCCAGTCACTCCAGCTTCTAACAGGAAAATAGTTGCTACGATATCATAGCTTTTTAAGATACTTTGGTGGACTTAGATCTGATGCAGCTCATCTCTCTCTTGCAGACTCAAAATGTTGCATACCAGCTATGGCAACTGATGTTTGTCTCTCCATCAGGGAGAAAGACAATAACAGTAAGCGATGCAGCAAAACTGGGCTACAGCTTCAATAACACGCTGTCCCGAGTGTACCTCCGTGCGCCCTATCACAGCAACGAGTCCGACGTCAGCGCGGTGAGTTGTTGCTCTCAACTGGACACAAGACTCTGCTGTTTCCACTGCCTCTCTAGAACGTCAGTTACCTTTTTCTGCCTGCACCCCAACAGGTCAGTGGTGTAAATATGAACATGGTCACTTCCACTTCAATGTACAGGCAGCGGTGGCTGCTTTTGCTGATTGACACAACTGTCTCCTGTCCTGTTGGTAAGGATTTCTTCCTTGTTCACGAATAACTGCCTAAAGAGCTAGTAGAAAATAGTCTCCCCTCTTCCTTGTGACCTGCTCTGCGAGGGAAGAGGTTTACGAGCTGCTCTTGGAGCAACATGAGCTAAGAGTCCATGGCTTTAGTCCTGGACAAACATGTTTCCTGCTGTGATGCTTCATTATTTGTGTTCCCAGTGCAATGTCGTGCCTTGTCTCCGGTTTCTCAAATCCCTACATTAGATGCAGGGAGCGGGAGACAAGTAAAAGTGATGCAGAAGGGCCAGAGAGCCTCCCCTGGACTAATCCTACAGCCTTGGCTCTTCCCTGTCATGTAACTCCATGCAGGGCATGCAGCTCGGCATCCTTGGGACTCACCTTGCCCTTTTCTCTGGAGAGGCAGAATTAGCCTGCCTTTTTGCAGAACAGTGGTGGCTGCACCTTCTGTCTCTCACAGAACAGTATTTATGTTCAGCAAATTATGAGGAAGCAGGAGGTTTTAAGTTGCCACGATCTTGAAGCCCATATTTCAAGGAGAAGGTCCAAAGCAGTGGTTCTGTGCCCCACTCCTTTCGCCAGTAAGGTAAAACTCCTGGGACCAGAAGGACAACAGACCAGGTAGCTGGGAGCATGACTGTGGGTTCTTCTGAATAAATTAATTAGTTACCTGAAGCTGGTGATTGAAGTCTGCTTCGAGTGCCGGGATTTCTGTGACAAAACAGCCATCAGCTGGCTAATGTCCTACAAGGTGTTTCATTAGTGAAAGCTCTAAAGGCATCCTGGTGAAAAGGAGTCAGGAGAAGAGTGACTGCTAACTCCAATTACACGGTCCATCTAACTCCACAGATGGCATCAGTTTCACCGATACTACGCTAACATGGACTGTGCCAAGCGTTATCCCCACGTTAGTGGCTCAAGAATCCACCTTTCTGTCTAAAAGCATTTTAATGGGAGTCGATGATCGAGTCATAGTAAACCCGGAGGAGAAGAACTACTTGTTGGAGCACAACGAGACACACATCACAGTAACTATCCCTATTGGAGCAGAAGGAGGCAAGCTAAAGGTTAGTATGAGCTTGTCACACACTAACACATTTGAGGGCCTGCACCACAGAAGATGTTTCTAAATTGTGATCCTTCCAAATTATTCCAAATAGTGATTAGCTGCTGCTTAAAATTCTTAGATATAAGAAATATTTGCAGACCTAGAAGCTCCTCCGTGTTTTGAAAGCACTTACTCACAAACTAAGTATCTCTGATTACAAAACATGATAGAAGCAAGGGTATATTTTGTTAATAGTCTGAAGATCTACTATTAAACTGAGAGTGAAGGGATTCCTATGCACTGGAGTTCAATTGTCTATGTTGTTCTATTATGAAACTAGTCCTGGTAAACTGCTGGCCTGGGTGAAGGACTAATTTCCCAGACAATTTCCATGCAGACAGCATTAAGTTAGCATGGGACAGATTCCCAGCAGGTAGCCTGGGTGCTGCCACCTGCTTTGGACATAGTATATTCCTTGTCAATCTATAATTGACAGGTACAGCAGCAATGTTGAAAGAGATGTTCAGTAGAACATAACAGAATGGTTTGGGTTGGAAGGCACCTTTAAAGATCATCTAGTCCAACCCCCCAGGCATGGACAAGGACATCTTGCACTAAATCAGATTCCTCAAAACTCCATCCAACCTGACCTTGAACACTTCAAAAGGACCTGGCAATGTTCTCACAAGGCTCTTGCATGGACAAGGACATCTTGCACTAAATCAGATTCCTCAAAACTCCATCCAACCTGACCTTCAACACTTCAAAAGGAGCTGGCAATGTTCTCACAAGGCTCTTTACCAGTTCCATTTGCGAAGATGACATCGGTGTGATTTTGACTTATCCCCTTCAGAAGTTCACTTTTTTGGGTATCAGTGGACACTTACATGTCTCTTCCTGGTCTTAAGAACTGCTGGAAGCACTGACAAACTTTCAGAGTAAACTGGGGCAGAATGAGAGACATGACTGGTAATCAGGGATTGTAAAAAAGTAAATGCAAATATAGTTACTTACTAAATTTAAGGACGACACCCCCCAAACCTAGAACTTGCTTACTGAGAATCTCAGCAGTATCTGAGCCAAACATGGACCAGACAAACGGGCCAAACAAACAAATAAACAATTTCCCCTAGCAAAATCCATCCCAAATTCTACGAGAATACAATTTTCTCTTTCTAATGTAAGAATTTTAACCATATTCAGTCATTCCTCTATTGAGAATTAAGACTTAATCACAAATTTTACCTCCTAGAGCTCCGTGTTTGGAGGTGTATATGGAGTCATTTACAGTATTGACTTGTTTTTGGAGCACACGTGGACAGATGCAGATTGGCAAACCACAAAGTATACTGTCGTCAAACCCGTCACCACCCCTTTCATGCCACAAATACCAACTGTTATCAACAGTAAGTCATTCCTCTCATTGACTTTTACCAACCTCCTGCTTTTCCTGTGTTACACATTGCTCCGTTTGACCTCTGCCACACACCTATATTCACCAGAATGTTCTCAACTCCCTCTTCAAAATTACTAGCCAAAGTCAAGATTCAAGGTAGTATGAAAAAAACTCAAACCTTTAGCCTTGACGGATGTAGCATTTATCACCTGTCATTATGGGATTAAATGAAAACTATACATTTCTGATAAGAATGTAAACATTTCTTTCACACTAACATCCAGATTTTTCCAGCGAGTGCTGGGACCCTAGAATAAAGTTGTTGTGCTGTGCAATTATCACAATGCATTAAGACACTAAGCATCTTTGGAGCTGTCTGGATAACTGATATAAAAAGATAAAGCCATCTCTTAGCATGCATTATGATAGTTTTTCCGTATTTTACGTGGCTGAACTAGATTCTAGATTTCTTTACAGGAAAGTCATTGCACATCTTAGTGCACCTCTAGAAAGTTACTGAACTCACTTTCTACGAAGCTGTATGTATTTGGTATTAATCTCCTGCAGCTTGAAGCAATTCTCATGCACTCAGAGCATTTCAGATCTGACTAGAACACAAACACTCATTAATCAGAGCCATTAAAGAGAGGGCTGTTGGCTAAGTTTCCTGGAATTTGAATGGGAGGCCACCCCAACCGTCTTCGTTACTTGATCCACATCAGCAGTAATGTGATGTTCTCTCCCTACAGATACTCTGCCAGAGGAAAGGCTATTTAATGTTGCATTTGGACACTTTCTTCCCGATGTCTCTCTGGTGGCAATTGCAATAGGAAATGTGCCATTTACCCTGAGGGAAGCACAGCGCCACGGGTTTAAGGTTTATGAAACTCCCTTTTCTAATAGAATGAAAGGATTTATCCTGGAAGTCTCTTTTGATGATCCGTATGTTCTAAAAGAGGTAAGACACAGCAGGTCACTTCAGAGCTGTGTGGAGGAGGTAGGGTAGTCCCTTTTCAGAACGTAGGATCGAGTGTGACTAGGTGGTACGTAACACAAATTCCTTTAGTCTCTGTCAACATGGCAGAGCGCACGCCCGTCAGGAAGAGGTTTGTCAAATCTCTATTAAATGCTGTCCCTTGAAACAGGAGTGCCTTGGAAAAATAAATCAGTTACGGCAATCCTGAAAATACCAGTTGCCAACATCCAGTAATTCCTGAACCTACCGTTTCTGCAGAGCCACTGGACCGCTAGCACAGGCCACGCGCCGCGCGAGCATGTACAGGCAGGCGCAGGGTATTCTAAGTGTAATTTTGTTAAGCTTCAGACCATTTGTAATCTAAACATTTGTAAAATTATAAACTCACAGGGGGAGTTCAACCTCTCATTTCAGTCAGAGGATGCGTAACGGCAAGTCCTCTACCACTGCTTCAACCAAATCATGCAGAGCTGCGATGTTATTTTCTGTTACAAGGAACAACATTGTGAACACACAGGATAAGGACTTGTGCAAACAGTTTTCAGGCTGCAGTCAAACCACAGTTAAATTGCATTAAGGATAAAAGCCAGCCAAAATTTTTCAGGAGCATTCCTTTCAGGTAGAACAGCAGTTTTTGCTTTGGGAGCACTTTTAGTAAATGTGGATACTTAGAGGGATCTCTCGTAGCATCTCCTCACACCTTCTGTCTTACCAATTACTTACTCTCCTGGGTTCAGCCCACACTCCGAGTAAAGAAGAATAAGCATTTGGACCTGGATCTCCCTCTGCGCGCTCTTTCACCCGTGGGCTACAGAGGAAACCCCACTGTGTTCACTTCTGCCTCCATCTTCTGAACAGGCACTACATTATCCACATTCACGTTTGGCTGGAAGAGCTGTTGAATCCAGTCCAGAGTTCTGAATTGCTTTAGGCCAGCTGAAGCGATGCTTTTGGAGACTTAGCTATCTGCAGGGGAGGGGAGGGTGTTGGAATAATTATTTAGTGCTGCTCAGGATACACATGCCTGTCTGCGCTGGAAGCCATTGTTACTGCAGCCTTACACTTCTCTCTCTTCCAGTATGTGAACAGAAATGAAACAAAATATACCCTTCTCCTTAACTACACCCTAAGCGTGGGTCCGGAGATGACACTCTATTATCACCCGGCAGAGGTGGAGTGTGTGATTGCTGATATCGGTAAGCTTTCCCTGGGCATTAACTGGCGTGCGTCAACAGCGTGGATCAGGCTTTCATTTAATTCAGTGAGAGCAGCATCAGGCTGAGGGTGAGCGCTTTTTGCGAAAACCCCACCCTTCAATAGTTCATTATTGGTAACACCGCCAGCTTGCCGCTTTTCTGATGGCAGCTCTTCTGCATACTGGCAAGACAGCCTGCCCTCGAGACACTGCGCGTAATAGAAGTAGTGTGTAGAACAAGTTGGCTCGCAAACTCAGCGAACAAGATGCCTCATAACTTGAACATACATCTACTGGCAAAGCTTTCAGACATTGCTACGAGTTTCAGTTTGTCCTCAAATGCAATTCAGTCTCTGTGTCCAGGGCAGAACTCAACCGACTCAAATTGCTGTGAACTCCAAAGACAGTATTTCTGTAAGGAGACCATCATCCACTAAGAGCTGTACTTAGCAGGTTATTGAAGCAGTCAGGAGGTCTGACAGGTATTTTCTCAAAATTCATATATTTTGGATGCCATGAAGGTGACAGAGGCTCCTTCCTCACTGTCCTGTTTTATCTTTGAAATAGCTCTGGGTTCAACCCAAGGAAGGCTGACCAAAAACATATATTTACATACGTAGCTCAGCTTGCCTTGCTGAAACAGGGAGTAGTCCTGTAGGCAAGCTGGCAGGCCACTGCCAAAGCATGAGGATTCCTCATCCCACCGATTGTGAGCTGCTCCACCCACAGCACAGCCAAAGCCCCACAGATGATGCCTGTATGCACGTAAGAGCAGCATCACTCAAGCCTTCCTTCACTGCTAACTCTTCATCCCACATTCTTCCCGCAGAATTACCAGAAGCAGCTGGTTACTGTGATGAAGAAAACCTGTATCTAGCCATCCCTACTTTTGGCTTGCACCAGTACTGGAACCTGTATCTTGGTAACAAGCTCCTGAACCGGCACATTGCGCTTACCAACGGGTACCTCGCAGCTACCAATTCCACACACCTCATCTTGCAAATACCCCTGTTTGCAGTGGGGGTTATCTATGAGGTACATGAACTGCACAGCAACACCTTCCGTAAAGCCTGCAGGACTGTCTGCACGTGCAGCCACAGTCCTACAGTCACAGTCTGTAGTGCTGTAGTTATTACACATATTGGAAAATTACACATGTTGGAAAACCTCCAGAGAGAAGGACTCTAAGGCAGTGCAAGTAGGACAGGAGATATCAGACATGGCCCCTTCTGGTAATGCCATGTTTTATGTAATCTGCAGTGCTAAATTGTCTCTAAAAGATATGTACCAAGTCGTCAAAAACAAGATCCTTAGTATTTTTAGTAAGATGAGGCAAAATGTCCCATCTGCACTGAGCCAGAAACAATATTTCAATATAGCTTTTATGAAAACAGCTCTTTTAAAGGAACGTTTTGTAGAAATGTTAAGACATAACAGGGTAAAATTGATGCTGTTATAAACATCCGAACAATTCTACAATAATCTGTCAAAAATTATCTCTGTGACAGTCACCAATTAATTCATACAAGAAAACTTCTGCCCCCATGTTACATCAGGCTCAAGTCTTAATCCTTAATCACAATGAGTTAACTCTTGTGACTTGTTAGTATTCAAGTGGCACAAGCTAAAGAGCAGAACCTTGTACATATGGATCACGTGCCCTAACAGGAGACCTCTTCCATCACCTCCTCCACAGGAAGTGTCCTTTCAGAAAATTCAAGCAAGGTTTGACGTTGCCCTAAGGAAAGTGAAAACTGTGGAGACCTTACAGATATTCTCCGTTACCTGCAGTTTTAATTCCTCAGCATTTATAAGTAAGTTATACAACTGATCAAGCAATAAAAAGATCTGTGATTCTTTCCTTGAGTTTATAACCAACTCTGTGGCTTTTCTCAGTATGCCACCCAGATGGTACCGTACTGGTATCTGCTCCAATGAAGACAGTTCCTGCCATTGATATGAGTAAAACCAAGCTAAGGGATAGCTCTTGCAAGCCTAGAGAGTATAATGAAGAACATGCCTTCTTCAAGTTCCACGTCACTGCCTGTGGCACTTCAGTAAGGGTAAGCCCATGGCCAGAGCAGATATGTCTGTTGGAAGCCTCTGTCTCTCCTGCATTTTCTCTCTTGTTCCCCTGCCCCAGCTCCTGAGAAGATTCAAATTTTAATGAGTTTCCCATATGCACAGTTTGAAGGTGATCACATTATTTATGAAAATGAAATTTCTTATGAGAAAGAGACTCTTCCAGGACAGAGCATACCGACAATCACAAGAGATCCAGACTACAGGTAGGAGCTACTGCTCGCTGACCCTGCTCACTTCGGTACAGCTGCCGGAAAGTAAAGGTGAACACAAAAGTTACCCTTTCTCCTACTATAGACTAACAGTCTTGTGCTACTATCGAGCAAAAGAGACCCTAGTGCTAGGTGCCTTTGGTAGTGATCCATCCACATCACCTCCCTTTGGCTCCGGTACGATGGTGCCAAGATCAAATGTTGCAGGTAGGCAATTCTCTTCCTCCATTTTTAAACTTCTCTGATTCAGCTGTAAGTTCCCTTGTTAAGACGTGCCCTGCTTCCTACCAAAGAACCTCACTGACATTTCCTTTTCTGCAGCACACAGAAGGGTAAGACAAGCCCTGAATGTAGTTTCAAGAGTGTCCAAAGGTAAGTCTCCTCCTAAGAAAATAAAAAAAATTTCCAAACATGTTTTAATTCAAATAAAGCCAAACAATAACAAAATACCCTGACATTTTCTCAAGATGAATCTTTTGTGGAATTCTACGAGCCCAACATGGCAATACTCAAGCAACCCGAGGAGCCTGTGTTTCTCGAGGTGGAGCTGAAAGACGGGAGCCCCCACGCTGAGTTATACCTGGAAAACTGCTGGGTAACCAGGTCTCTTGACTTCAACAGCACCCCAAGATGGAACATCACCGTGGACGGGCAAGTAGTTACTGAATGACCAATGCGCTCATCAGCAAAGCCCTAATTTCTTCTAGATGTGTCAATCTGTTCTCTCACACAGGTGTGAGATTAACGGCAGCGAGTACGTTGCAGAGTTCTGTCCAGTAGCTGTTAGCGCCAGGGTGAGACACCCTCCTCATTTTAAAAGGCTAGCAGTAAGGACCCTGGCACATCGCCTGGAAAAGGTAAGATTAAGTGAAAGTCCCACCTCCCACCCACGGACCCTATCCTCAGAACTTCTTAAGACCATTTGAAAAATAGATGACTTAAAACACCTCACAGACTTCAGGCCTAGCCCACACACAACCCAAGTAGCCCGCCCTGTGCACAGCTTTGATTTAGTTCTCTCCTCAAATCTGTTCTGCAACAGTTTTAGTGACTTCAGACTGGACTAGCTGGAGTAAACAAAAGAGTTTGGTATGTAAATATGATTTTTATATGGTGTTTCTGACTTTTTATAGGATCAGATTCATAGCACTTCAGCTCAAAAGGTCTAGAACAGGAAAGTCAACTTACATGTTATAATATCCACATGAAGTTCAGCTCTGTTGCCCTCCCATCTGTCCCAGCCAGTCAACCATCCCTTCAGATGTCAGCCCAAAGGGCAGGGAAGCAGAGACATGTGGGTTTGCTCTTACACTTCTGAGGTTCTTTCCTCCTCTAACAGGTCTAAGCAGGGCAAAGAAAACCCCAGGACAGTCACCTGTGGGTGCTTTGCTCCTAGTGCACCCGGCTGAGTGGAGTGTAACACATGTACCGATATGAGCCATGGCAGCATCCCTGCCTGGGCAGTTTAAGTAACCACGTAATTTTTTGACGAGGCCTTTCCTAAGCAGTTCAACCCATGAACTTGCTAGAAATGAACATGATGCAATTCTGGCTTGCACTGCTTCCTCAGCGCGCAGCTGCGTCTAGCACCAGATTGAGTTTCTGCCAAGCTTTGATACATAGCCTCACCGCAGCTCGTGAGGTTTTACCTCCTCCTGTCTCAGCCTCTCAGTTACCAAACTGCCTGAGGGCTTCTTTGGCACCAAATTTGAAATTCAAGGCAGGTTCAGCTAGAAGGTGCTGCACGCAAGTGTTGAGACAAGCCCAAAGTCTCATCAGCTGTACGTTCTGCAAAAGGCAGACAAAAGACAAAAGGATGCTCCAAAGCGGGATTCGGTATGGACCAAGTGGTACTTCTTCTTCTTCTCAGGTGTACGTGCACTGTTGGGTGGCAGCATGCTCTCCTACCAACATTCCACCTGGCCGCCCCTGCAGAGGACAGCCCAGCTCAAGCAGGGAGAGGAAGGGTAGGTGTTCAGGAGAAAGAGCCATTGCAAAGCACTCCTGACCTGATGCTTTAAAGGGATTTAGGATCTCTAGTTTTGGCATCTGATATGCCTCGAATACAGACTGTGAACATTACCTTTAGTTCATACTTGTGTACACTAGCACTTAACACGCAGCATGTATGTATTCTTTAAAAACTACACTCTCTCTCATTCTCAAGCCTTTCCAGGTCACTGTTCAGCCAACCTCCAGGGCTACGTAATTGCTGGACCAGTCTGGATTGGTGATTCGGATCTAAGATGACGCATGTAAACTGAATTTGGTAAGGCCAGGCCCCATGTACTCACCCAGAGGTCACCGTGCTTTGTGGCACAAGCAATGCATAGCCTTCCAGACCTTAGAACCATCAGTTCTGGGACAGGAATTAGGGAGGGTTTGCAGTCTCCCAGTCTGAGCTTGAGCCCGTAAGAGAGGGAAGAAGGAGAGCTCCCTTCCAAGCCAAGCACAGGTGGCATGGCTCTGGAGAAGATGCCAGCAGTAGAGCAGGGCATGTTGGAGCTGGGCTGCAGCAGGCAGTTTTGGAACCAGGTCTTATTTCAACAGGTTTTCAACTGGACTGCCCCCAGCCTGAAAGAAAATGCAGCCAAAATTTTAGGATCACTGCCATATTCCAGATTCTTCTGAAAGGTCCAAATCCTTCAAACTGATAGGGTTTGCTCTATAGCTTCATCTGCCCTGGGAGACACTATTCAGCTGTGTGCTCCAGGCTCACCCCTCACTTCACCCTCTGTGTGTGCGTGTGTCTCCAACAGCAGCTGAAGGCTCTGCTGTGCTGGCTGCATTCTAAACGATGCAACTACAGACAGGAGCTACCTCTTCCAGTGACCACCAGAACTATCCTGCTGGAAGTGAGAAGACCAGACAGTGAAACTCAGGACGGCACCACCGCACTGGGAAGTGTCAGCGTCTGCCAATAGGATTCGTTAACATAACCTCTGAAGTGGCTACAAAAGAAAACTTACCACAGAATAACCCAAGGCTGCAAAATAACACTTCTTGTTTCTCCCAGCTGTTGGAATATGGACTTGGAGATCACTAAAATTATTCCAGCCCTGATTACGGCTGTTTCTTGTAATATTTCATGTCGTGACTGCCAATCCGCTGATGCGAACGCAAACTGCCAGTCTGAAAAGTTAAATAAAAATACGTACAAGGGAACATAAGTGCAGAACGTAGAATCAGAGAACGGTTTGGGTTGGAAGGGACCTGAAAGACCATCTAGTTCCAGCCCCCCTGCCATGGGCAGGGACACCTTCCACTAGAAGGGCGCACACTCCTCTAGCGCACCCTGCACATCTCCCTGCTAACGTGCAGCAGCAACTACCTGGTGTACCAATGCCGGCTTCAAAGAGCTGCTGAGGGCCTCTCCCCCATGCAACACAACGGCATACTCTTGGTTTTCCCATTAACGCAGATTTTTGTCTGTAACACCGCATCGACCCGAGAGTTGTGGAAATACGTTAGTTCCGCACTTTCCTCTTGCCTGCCCCTGCCTGGAAAAGGCTAACGCTACAAAATGGGAGAAGATGGGTAAAAAGGACAACTTACCTGGCGTTTTGTTTTCTGTGCCCAGAGAAAACGTGCTTCTCTCAACTATTTTCTAGAGCAAGGACAAAGCGGCCCGATGACTGCCTGTCATCGCTCTCAGGACATGCCCACGCTGTAAGGGAAGAGGCGCCTGCAGCACGAGCAGGTGTCCAGCAGCGAAGAGGGAACCCTTTCACGTTCTGTAAAAGGAACGGGAGGGTGCTGGGATCCCAAGACCCCCCTCGGGAGCAGCCTGGGAGATACCTTCCCCTCCGCTGTACGAGCAGTGCACTCTGCTGTCCGGAGCTGACACTGCAGAGCCAAGCAAGCTTTCCTGCTCCCACACATTTTCCAAGAAAGCCATTCCCCATTTTTAATGTTCACCGTAACAAACTCATCAGTTTAGGTTAACTTTCTGTTAACCTAAAAAGCAGTCCTTCCGATACCTGGAGGTTGGGATGAAGGTTAAGTAACGATGACCGGATGCCAGCTCTTTTCCCAGTGCCCACGGGACACTGTCTAGGTCCACGCAGATGAGCATCGGGTCTGGTGCTGTGTCACCAAGGCTCGCCGGCTCTGCAGTCCTGCAGAGCAGAGTCAGGTAAACTCCTCTGCAGCAAGCGGGATATCCCAGATCTTTCCCTTTTGCCCTGGGAAGGCAGGAAGGAGTCTAGCAGTGTTCCATACCCACCCACTCACCACCCAGCAGATGGGGAGACCTTTCTCTCCTCAGCACATTGGGAGGGAAAGGGGGGAGACGAGACAGAACTGCATTCCAGCTCCACATGCACTTCAGGTTCCCACGTTCCCACACAAACCAGAGAAATTCCACATCCTTGCTTGCCTTCTCCTGTCTCAGTTGCTGTTTGTGGCAGATGATGTTTTTTACAGTCACACAAGTCTGCCAGGTTTGGGCATCCATTGTTCAGCTTCCAGGGTGTGTTTCCCAAGCCACAATCCAGCCACGCTACTGCATGGCATATTGCTCTGCATCTGGATTCTCCTGAGATTACACCCCCCTCTCAGGTGCTGTAGGTGGAACTTCAGTACCTAACTCATGTCCTAGATTCCAGTTTTCAGCCCTACAGGAGGCTTAAACTCTTTCTTGGATTAGGTTTTCAGGAATCACTCTGGTTGTAC